TGCATTGCAGGTGAAGGATGTATATAATATATATATATATATATATATATATATATATATATTGGGGTGTACATGCAGCTTTGTTGTTGTAGCTGGCCTTTGGGAGGATAGACAGCACAAGGAGGAAGTGCTGGATAGTGAGAATTCTATTTGTAATAAATATAATAATAATAATAATAAATAATAATAATATAATAAAATAAATAGTAGCCTTTATCTTTCAAGTAAACTGTTCCGCTTCGCACGCAAGAATGTCTCTGGCAGTTGCGGTGTATATACACCTCACCCCTGAGCAGTATAAGAAAGGCTATTGATTCTTCAAGCCTCTTCTTTAAATCTTCTTGCAGTTAATTGCAAGCCAGAGGGGTCCAGAAGTGCATCTGCTTTATGCTACGTTGCAGCCCCAACGCACGCGCTTGTCTATACATGCATGCATGCATGCATGCATGCATGCATGGGGTGTACGTACATACGTACAGCCTGATACTGCGTGCGTTTGCATGCAGCTATGTGCATATGGGGCTGCCCCGCCGTTATGTGTAGAATGGGGGGCTGAAGCGCCTTCTTCTTTTCTTCTTTTGTCTCGAGGCAGCAGTGTTGCAGTGTGCCTCCCAGCGGGGATAGTAGTAGCTGCTGCTTGCTGCTCCGTTCACCTGCAGCAGCAGCTGCAGCAGCTGCAGCAGCTGCTGCAGCTGCTGCTGCTCCTACCTGGTCCCCGCCTGCATGTCCTGAACTTCGTGTTCTTTTCTGCTGCTTTCAAACTGGCATTTTAAGACACTTTTTTGCAGCAGCAGTAGCAGCAGCAGTAGCAGCAGCAGTAGCAGTAGCAGTAGCAGCAGCAGCAGTAGTAGCAGCAGTAGCAGCAGCAGCAATAGTGGCAGTAGCAGCAGCAGTAGCATCGGTAGCAGCTACTGCACCAGCAGCAATAACATAAGTAGTTACAGAGTATAGTTAAGTCCATTATGCCGCACGTTCCTTAGCAGCTTTTCTAGCTGCTGCTGCTGCTGCTGCTGCTGCAGCAGTAGTACGCGAAGCAGCTGTTTGAGCTGTGAGGAAGCAGCGAAGTTCAGCAAGACCCAACGGTCTCTTTGATGATACTGCGAAAACGAATGGCTGCAGCATATTCTCTTGCTGCTGCTGCTCCCGCTCTTGCAGCAGCAGCAGCCGCTGCTGCAGCTGCAGCATAAATTTATGCAACTCAAAGGCCTGCAGACAGAACAGCACCAGCAACACAAATATGAATTGCAATAGTACCACAAAGAACAGCAACAGCAGCAGCACAAACAGCAGCAACAGCAGCAGAGCACCAGCAGCAGCAAGAGCGCCAGTAGCTGCAAAAGCACTAGCCGTAGCACCGGAAGCAGCAAGAGCAGCATGAAAAGCAGCAGCAAGAACAGCATCAACAGCAGCAGCAAGAGCAGTATCAACAACAGCAGCAACAGCAGCATCAACAGCAGCAGCAAGAGCATCAACAACAGCAGCAAGAGGAGCAGCAGCAGCAGCAAGAGAAGCAGCAGCAGCAGTAGCAAGAGAAGCAGCGGCAGTAGCAGCAAGAGGAGCAGCAGCAGCAGCAGCAGCAGCAAGATGAAGAGCTGACAGAGAGGAGGTCTACTTTGGTGACAACGACAACAAATTTTTTTTTCTTGTCTTGCAGCAAACTCCACATCTCTTCGTCCCGCGTTCGAACCCCGGCAACAGCATCAACTAAACAAACAGTAAGAAGCAGCCTGTAAGCAGTACAACAGCAGCATATGCAGCAACAGCAGCAGCAACTCAGGGAATGCAGCAACAGAAACAACCAACTGCGGTCGCTGCTGCTGATGCCGCTGCACTGCATTCTTCAGCAGCAAAACTGTAACACCAGCAGCAGCAGCAGGACAATAACAGCAGCACCAGCAGAAGCAATAGCCCGCGCAGCAGCAGCAGAAGTAGCAGCAGCAGTAGCAGCAGCAACAGCAGAAGCAGCAGCAACAGCACGTGCAGCAGCAGCAAGACAAGGGCTCACTGTCGGGATCGATCTAAGTACTCCTCCAGCAGCAGAGCCCACTCCTCCTTCATAGCCTGCAGCAGCAGATGCAGCAGCAGCACATGCAACAGCAGCAGATTGTGCAGCAGCAGTTGCTGCAGCAGGAAATGCAGCAGCAGTAGTTGCTGCAGCAGCGGATGCAACAGCAGCAGATGCAGCAGCAGCAGAAGTAGCAGCAGCAACAGCAGTTTTACTGGGGACACGCGTGCGAAACCATAGCCTGGGAGATCAGCGAGAAGAAGTCGCGATGATAATTCAAACAAAAACAGCTGCCGAGTCCGACCCTAAGCAGCAAACGGGCAAGCAGCAGCAGCAGCAGCAGCAGAAGCAGCAGCAGCAGCAATATATAAACTGCATTCTCTGCGTCTTTGTGCATCATCATTTAAAAGCATCGGCAGTGCGTCTACCTGCAGTAGCTGCAGCAGCAGCAGCATGAGCAACAACAGCAGCAGCAGCAGCAGCAGCAGCAGCAGCAGCATAAGACCCACTGCAACCCTGCTTGTTCTTGCAACTTCTCTGCCGAAGAGGAGGCCGTTGATAAGGCTAGACTTCCCGCTATTTGAATGCCCCACGAAAGCCACCTGCAGCAGCACCAGCAGCAGCAGCAGCATCGGTAGCAGCAGCATCGGTAGCAGCAGCATCGGCAGCAGCAGCAGCATCGGCAGCAGCAGCGGCAGCAGCAGCTGCTGGACTCCCCACGAATCGGCACACGCAGCAACTGCAGCAGCTGCTGCTTCAGCTGGCATCAGGCAGCAAACAATCCCCCAATAGCTGTGTGCTTAGTCTGCTGCAACAGAAAGCAGCAGCAGCAGCAAAGGCAGCAGCAGCAGCAGCAGCAGACCTGCGGCGTAGGCTTGCGGGGCAGGCGATGTATTGTTTGGGCCACAATAACAGGATGAGCTGCTATTGGCTGTCTAAACAAATTGCATGCATATGCCTCCTGCAGCAGCAGCAGCAGCAGCAACAGCAGCAGCAATGGCAGCAGCAGCAACAGCAGAAGACACGATTGCATTTTTATGAGCCTGAAAGACGCAGCAACAGCAGCAGCAGCAGCAGCGGCAGCGGCAGTAACTGTTGCTGCTGCTGCTGCATGCTGCACAGCTGCAGTTTTGGGCGGACCCGTCCCTAAACCCTAAACCCTAAACCCTCACAAGCATCGAAGCCAGCTACTGCTGGGACCCCTTTATACAGCAGCACAGCAGATTCAGGAATAGTGAAGTGCAGCAGCAGCAGCAGCAGAAGAAGAAGCAGCGACAGCAGCAGTTACTTGTTGAGGGTTCATCCAGGGGGCCTCTATTTCTGCTGCGGTGTTATCACCATTAAGAGAAATAAAAGGGCGAGCCATGAACAGCCCCAATGTCGGTGGCGTTGCTGCTGCTGCTGGTGCTGCTGGTGCTGCTGCTGCTGTTGCTGCTGCTGCAGTTGACAGAGCCCTAGTCCGTGAAACTCCTCCTGCGGCCTTTGCTGCAGCAGCTGCTGCTGGTGGTGCTGCTGCTGTTGCTGCAGCAAACCCAGAAGCAGCGCCAGCAGCAGGACCAACGCACAAAATGCTTCTATTCAAGGTAGAAGGAAAACCCGCTGCTGCAGCAGCAGCAGCTGCTGCTGCTGCAGCACAGCGAGTTGCTGCACCTAAAGAGCTCATCCCTCCCGGCACATTAAGAAGCCCCCGGGGGCCCCTCTATGGCCTAGAGGGGCCCCCTGAGGGGCCCCCTGAAATCTGTAAGGGCCTGTTGGGGGCCCCCGGAGGCCCCTAGCAGCCTCTATGGGTGCTTCCTGTGGCCTATGGGGGCCCCTAGGGGGACACTTTGCTTTATTGAGGCCCCTTTAGTACCCCCTATGGCCTCCAGGGGCCCCTTGGGGGCCCCCTATAACCTGGAGGGGCCCCTGGGGGGCGGGGCCCCCTATCGCCTCGGGGGGCCCCTGGGGGTCCCTAACGCCTCCGGGGGCCCCTGGGGGGCCCCTATCGCCTCGAAAGGCCCCTGGGGGGCCCCCTGTGACCTATAGGGCCCCCTGGAGGGCCCCTGTGCCTATAGGGGCGCCGATATCGCCTATGGGGGCCCCTGAAGGGGCCCCCTATACCCGTGGGTACAGCCGGGGGCCCCCCTGATACTTCGGGGGCCCCTAGGTGAAGCAGCTGCTGCTAAGTAAATCGGAGCGACGGAGTTGTTTTGAATAAGGGGAAGAAGTTTTATATTTGTTGTAAATATAATATACCTATTATGTCCTTATTTATCTAATAATTATACATATATCTGTGCTGCTGCTGCTGCTGCTACTGCGGCGGCGGTGCAGAGGAAGCCTGCTGCAGCGGTGTTGCTGCTGCTGCATGCAGCGAGTGATAGTTTAAAGAAGATAAGCATGTAGAAGCAAACAAAAACGGAAAAACTTCTAAAATAACTCCTAAGCTAAGCCTTTGCTTGCTGGGTCTCCGTGGCATGCAGCCCCACGTGCTGCATGCGATCAACCTGCTATTTAGGGTTTAGGGTTTAGGGTTTAGGGTTTAGACCCCTCGAGCGCACTGCCTCTGTTTAACTTGAGCAGACTCCCTGCATTCTCATTTGCGCAGATCATAGGCGAAGGAGGGGAGAGAGAACCACTAGCTGCTGCTGCAGCAGAAGCTGCAGCAGCAGCAGAGGCAGCAGCAGCAGCAGCAGCAGCAGAATAATAATAATACCCAGAATGCCTTTCGGCTGAAGCAGAGCTCAGAGATAACCCCCGAAGAGCGGCACCCCTATAAACGCAACAGCAGCAACAGCAGCAGCAGCAAGAGCAGCAGTGCTGCAGTAGCGCGTACAGAAGCATCTCCTTTTGCAGCAGCAGCAGCTGCAGCAGCTGCAGGAGCAGCTCTACACACGCTCGCAGCAGCGGCTTGAGGAGTGAGGCCTTGCTACGATATGGCAGCAAGAGCAGCAGCAGCAGCAACAGCAGCAAGAACCAGGTCAGCAGCAACAACAGCAGCAGCAAGGCGAAAATGGAGGCGCAGCGTGCAGCAGCACGGCGATCGGAGCTGCTTCGGCAGATGCCAGCTGCGTTGCTGCAGCAAGTGCAGCAGCAGCTGCAGCAGGACCCGCTGCTGCTGAAGGTGCTGCAGCGCCGCGGGTGTGACGAATTTCTGGGGGAGAGATTTGCAGTGTATGGCCACCAGCTGCAGCAGCAGCAGCAACAGCAACAGCAGCAGCAAGACCTTTTTCTAGATCTGGTCTGGTATAACAGACGGGGCTGCATGCGGCTCTGTATCCCCAGGGCACCCGATTTGCTGCAGCAGGTGATGGAGCACTTCACTGCCTGCTACGTGCAGGAGCAGCAGCAGCAGCAACAGCAGCAACAGCAGCAGCAACCGACCGGGAAGCAACAGGGTCGGAACCGCTTAAAGCCGCCGCAGCAGCGACAAAACTGCACCAAGAGCAGCTGCAACGGGAACAAGGGGAGGCAGCCCAGGGCTGCTGCTGCTGCTGCACTTGAACCTGTTAGCAGCAACAGCAGCAGCAGGGGCTGCTGCTGCGGGTGTGGCTGCCTGAGTGCTGTCTGCCCCTTCCCAGAGCTTCACCGGGAGCAGCAGCAGCAGGCGAACCGCAGAGGCAGCAGCAGCAGCAACAGCAGCAGCAGCAACCAGCATTCACTGGAAGACCTTTGTTGCAGCAACTTGTGTGCTTCGTTGCTGCTGCAGCAGGTTGCAGCCTGCTGCTACTGGCCCAACATGCGAGATGACTTGGAGCGCTTCCTTCGCCAGCGCAAGTCCAGCAGCAGCGGCAGCAGCAACAGCAGCAGCAGCAGCAGCAGGAGTACCTGCAGCAGCACATGCAGATGGAAGCTACCAAACAGCAAAACAGAAACGGCAGCAGCTGCATGCGCTGATAGCTGCAGCAGCACGAAGACCAGATGCACGCCGCCAGCAGCAACGGTGCCAACAACAGCAGCAACAGCAGCAGCAGCAGCAACAGCAGTCTCTCCAGCTGTTGCTGCAGAGAGCCATGGCGTTATATCCCGCCGCCGGGAGGTCCAGCTTGGCGATCTGCTGCTGCACTCAGCAGCAGCAGCAGCAACAGCAGCAGCAGATTCTGGGGTCCTGGCATCCCCTCGTGGGGATGTAGAGGAGCAGCAGCAGCAGCCGCAAGCGCAGCAAGCTGCGTCAAGCAGCAGCAGCAGCAGCACCAGCAAGGACGACTGGGTGCCTCTCCAGGTTTGGGTTCGCCGCAGCACCGCTGAGCTGCTGCATGCATTGCCTGCTGCTGCTGCTGTTGCTGCAATCCCTCTGCTGCCGCTGAAGCTTGAGGGGGAGTTGCTGCTGCTGGATGCCAACAAGGCAGCAGCAGCAGCAGCAGCTGCTGCTGCTGCTGCAGAAACTGCAGAGCAGCACAGAGCAGCTTGGAGGCGCATGGAGCTGCATCTTGCTGCTGCTGCAGCAGAGGTGACATTGGCTGCTGCAGCAGTAAACGATGCTGCTGTAACTGCAGCAGCAGCAGCAGCAACAACAACAGCAGCAAGGATAGTGCCAGATATCGGAGCATCACCGGCGGGTGCTGCTGCGCAAACAGCAGCAGCAGCAGCAGCAACTGAGCAGCAGCTGCAGTGGGCTGCTGAGGCTGCTACTGCTGCTGCTGCTGCTGCTGCTGCTGCAGTGCAGCAGCCCCCCCCAGGATTCGAAGAGGTTTGGGGGGCCCCTGCAGTCTCCTCTCTCTGTAACTGGCTCTCCACGAGCGTACCAGAAGCAGCAGCAGCAGCAGCAGCAGCAGCTCCAGCAGCAGCAGCAGCAGCAGCGCGAAAAGAACAGCGACGAGCCAGTTTGTTGGGGGAGGACGAACTGTTGCTGCATCCTGCACAGCAGCAGCAGCAGCAGCAGCATGAGTGGCAGGTGCAGCAACAGGCGCAGCAACTGATGCACGACCTGCTGCAGCAGCAGCTGTTCGGCCTGGAGCAGCAGCAGCAGCAGCACCAAAAGGCACAGCAGCAGCAGCAGCACAGCTGGGGATCTCCATTTGCAGCGGAGCTGCTGCAGCGCTTTCCGGCGTATCCTTCATCATCTCCTGTTGCTGCTGCATCTGCTTTTGCTGACAGCAGCAGCAGCAGCAGCAGTTTGATGCCACTCAGTAGCTGTTTAGGGCTCCGTCAGCAGCAGCTGCTGCAGCTGCCTCTGCTAGAGGAGGCACAGCTGCTGCAGCACCAGCCCGCTTCTCCTGTTGCTGCTGCAGCTGCTGGTGGTATCTTCAGTTGCACTTTCAGCAACAGCAACAGCAGCAGCAGCAACAGCAGCAGCACCACCAGCTGCTGCACTTCCACACCGCTTTCGTCCCCCACCGAAGCCTCAACGTTGCAGCCCCAGCCGCAGCAGCAGCTGCAGCACATCGCGCAGCAGCAGCAGCAGCAGCAGAAGCAGCAGCAAGAGGCCTTCGAGGCAACAGCTGAGAGTCGGCACCACACCCCTGTACACCCAGAAGCAGCAGCAGCAGCAGCGTCTGCGAAGGGAGACTCACAGCAACAGGAGCAGCAGCAGCAGCAGCAGCAGCAGCTATCAGACCCTTGGAAGCACCGACGTTCACTGTTGGCGTTTGCCTTTGATGTAGCAGCAGCAGCAGAAATCAATAGCGTTTGCTGCAGGCTGTGGTTGGGGTGTATGTACACTCAAGCGGCAGCAGTTTGTCTCGTGCTTCCACTGAAGGGCCAAACTGTAAGGCAATTGATGCTGCTGCTGCTGCTGCTGCTGCTGCTCTCGCTGCTGCTGCAGCAAGTAGTGTTGCTGTCGCTACTGGTGCTGCTGTTGCTGCTGTGAAAATTGCTGCTGCTGAAGCGATTGCTGCTGCTACTGTTGCTGTTGCTGCTGTTCCTGTTGCATCTGCTCTTGGTAAGGCTGCTGCTAGATTCTGTTGAGAGCCGCTGGCAGCGTCTGCTGCTACTAATACTGCTGCTGGTGCTGCAGCTTGCTGCTGCTGCTGCCCCTCCTCTGCTGATGTCTGGCTGATTCTGGTGTTGCTGCTGACAATGATGCTGGTGCTGAGCTGCTCTCTGTGCTGCGGTTGCTGCTGCTGCTGCTGCTGCTGCCGTCTCTGCTGCGGTTGCTGTTGTTATTGATGTCGTCGTTGCTGCTGGTGCTGCTGCTGCTGCTGCAGGACCAGGGACCCTTGTGCGTCGTGCGCGTCTGCGAGGTAGCGGACATACCGCGGCTGTATTTGTTCATTTGCTGCTGGCTGCAGCAACTGCTGCAGCAGCAGCATCAGCAGCAGCTGCAGTTGCCGAGTCAGCAGCAGGCGCTACCGAAGCAGCAGCAGCTGCTGCGGCAGCAGCAGCAGCAGCAGCAGCAGCAGCACCAAGAGGATTTATATGAGGAGGTATCTGTACACCGACAACACCTCCCTGCACCCCTCTCCCTGTGTTTGCCAGTGAAGACAAGAGCAGTAGCAGCAGCAGAAGCAGCAGCAGCAGCAAGAGCACCAGCTCCTGCAAATGACTCAGAGGCGCCAACAGTACTGTCGGGTGCAGCAGCACCATTAACAGCAGCAACCGCAGCAGCAGCAGCAGCAACACTATTGCAGACCGAGCGGCTGTCTCCCCTTGTATGGCTGGCCCCGCTGCTGCACAAGATCGAAGCAGCAGCAGCAGCAGCAGCAGCAGCAACAGCCGCAACAGAGCAGCAGCACCCAACTCTGCTGTATCTGCTTCTTGATTTGTTCTCGCCGCTTACAAAAAATATTGCAGTGCTGCAGCGCGTGACAGGCAAGGGGTCTACTGGTGCCTACAGCAGCACTAGCAGCAGCAGCAGCAGCAGCAGCGGCAGCAGCAGCGGCAGCAGCAGCAGCGGGGCGCCTCCGTTCTGGGCATTCGTGGGGCCAACACATGGCCTGTCGGAGGCTGCAGCCGTCGTGCGACCTTCTATTTGCAGCAGCTGCAGCAGCAGCAGCAACAACAGCAGCACCTGCTGCTGCAGTGGTGCTGCTGATGTAGAGCTAGCCCTCGACTTCGTCTTGGGATCGCTCAGGTTTGCATGTGTTGCTGCTGCTGCTACTGGCAGCCGCAACGTGGTGCTGGCTATTACAGATGGAGTTGCTGCTCCTGCTGCTGCTGCTGCAGCAACAGCAGCAGCAGCTGCAGCAACAGCCGCACCTACAGCAGCATCCATACCAACCTCACCTGCACCACCCCCAGCAGCAGCAGCAGCAGCAGCAGCAGCAGCAGCAGATCCGTGTTGGGGACTGAAGGCACTAGGGAGGCGCATGTCTCCTTTTGTCTCCTCCCGGAGGGCTTCGCAGCTTGCTGTGGCTCTATTGTGTTATCGTGCTGCTGCTCGCGTTGCAGCAGCAGCAGCAGCAGCAGAAGCAGCAGACGCAAGAGCAGCAGCAGCAAAAGCAGCGGTTGAAGCAGCACAAGATAAACTCTGTCAGGGCAGGGGAGCTGTTCAGAGGCTGCACCGATCTGCTCTTGAAGCAGCAGCAGCAGCAGCAGCAGCAGCATCAGCAACACCAGGTGACCCAACACAACCGCGAACGCGCGCAGCAGCAACAGCACCAGGAAGGGCTGCTGCTGCTGCTGCTGCGCTGCAGCAGCACGATGCTGCTGCACAGCGGCTGCTCGTCCGGCGTTTGCTGCTGCGGGCCCTGTTGGCGCTTCGTAGCTGCTGCAGCATTCCCCCTTCATTCGAGCAGCAGCAGCAGCAACAGCAGCAACAACAGCAGCAGCAACAGCAGCAGCAACAACAGCAGCAGAAGCAACAGCAACAGCAACAGCAACAGCAGCAGCGGGCAGAGTATCCACTGCAGCAGCAGGAGACGAGTATCACGTCTCCTGCAAATAGAGACTCTCCAGTTCCTGCTGCTGCTGCTGCTGCTGCTGATGCTGGTGCGGGACCTTCGTCTCGTGTTGCTGCTGCTGCAGATTGTACGGCTGCTGCTGATGCTGCTGCGGGGCCACCGCCGGAAAAGATAGCAGCAGGTGCAGCAGCAGCAGCTGCAGCAGCAGCAAACAGTTTCGCAGGACCTGCTCAGGCAGAGTGGATGACGATGGCTTCGGTGTACGAACACCTGGCTGACACATTCCTGCAGGAGCACGTGCAGTTAGAGAGACAGCAGCAGCAGCAGGAGCAGCAGCAGTTGCTGCTGCAAGAAGCAGGTGCAGCAACAGCAGCAGCAACAGCAGCAGCAGAAGCAGCAGCTGTTGAGATGGAATTTCTGCAGCTCCGCTGCCTTTCGCGTGCAGGACAGTTGCTGATGGAGGGCCTACGGTACGGAGCAGCAGCGAGTCGAAGCAGCAGCAGCAGCAGCAGCAGCAGCAACAGCAGCAGGAACGGTGCTGCTGCTGCTGCTGCAGCAGTAGCGTGGGATCATCAGCGGCTGCTGCTGCTCCGCCGCCTACAAGGGAAGCTGCTGCGGTGTCATATGAGCCTTGCCCAGCTGCATCTCTCGCGGCTGCGGGTTGATGCAGCAGCAGCAGCTGCTGCTGCAGCTGCTTCTGCTCCTTCTATTGTTGTTGGTGCAGCAGCAGCTGGTTCAGCCTCTGCTGCTGTAGCAGCACCCTCTTCAGGTGCTACTGCTACAGCTGACGTTGCTACAGTCTCCTGCAGGGCAGCAGCGCGATCAGATCCTAGCAGCAACAGCAGCTGCAGAAGCAGCAGCAGCAGTAGCAGCGGGAGCACTACTCTCTATTCCCAGTTGGAGGGGGCAGGAAGGGGCCTCCGCCATTTGCTGCTTGCCTCGTGCTTTATACCCCCACATTCGTTTGGCAGCTGCAGCAGCAGCAGTTGCAGCAGCAGCGGCAGCAGCAGTTTGTGCGGCAACAGCTGCAGCAGCACCAACTGCTGCTGCAGCTGTGGGCTGGGGGCAGCGGAGCTCTCGCTGCTAACAAAATCTGTATATCTATCGGTTGCGGAGGTGTTTGTGGCTTTAGGACAGGCGCTCCCTAGCTGCTTCCAGCAGCAGCAGCAGCAGCAGAAGCAGCAGCAGCAGAAGGTATCTTCTCCAGGTGCTGCTGCTGCTGCTGCTGCTGCTGCTCTTTTCAAGGCAATCGGCAGAGACCTTGACTCGCTGCCTGCTTGGTGCTCACCGCCGATCCCCAGCAGCAGCACCACATGTTCTGCTGCTGCCGCTGCCAGCAGCAGCAGCAGCAGCAGCAGCAGCAACTACATACTTTGGGGGCCCCCGCTACTTCCTTGCACGTCAGCGACGGTTTCTCCTGATAAGGAGCGGCTGCTGAACAACGGCGTGGCATTTTGCTTGCGAGTGCTGCAGCAGCAGCAGCAGCAACAACAACAACAGCAGCAGCAGCAGCAAAAACGCCAAGAGAGGAAGCCTGATAATTGTAGCGGGAGGCGCTGCAGCACGAGCAGCAGCAAACAAGCAGAGCGAAGGCACAGTAACAGCCATGGCCAGCAGCAGCAAGAGCAGCAGCAGCAGCACCAGAAACTGCTGCTGCTGCATAAATGTCTGGATGCGCGGGCGCAGCAGCTGATGGCAGCTGCTTATGCTGCTTTGGGCTGTATGTACACCTCAACAGGGAGAAGAACTAGAGCTCTTATCCATGCGAAGCAGGTAAGCTTTGCTGCTATACAAACCTAATAGAACAGAGTAGGCGCAAACACCCGTTGCAAAGCTGCTGCTGCTGCTGCTGATGCTACTGCTGCTGCTGTTGCTGTTGCTGCTGCAGGGAGCAGCACTATTTGCTGCCGTTGGCGACGTTGCTAGCGCTGCGCGCATGCAGCTGATGCTTTGCTGCATGACTCTCTACCCTCTTTTGCTGTACAACTCCGACCAGCAGCAGCAGCAGCAGCAGCAGCAGCAGCAGGATGAGTTGAATCCTGCTGCAGTTGCAGCTGCCATTGCTGGCGGCAGAGGGCGCTGCGACTCGCAGCAACTGCAGCTGATGCAGCAGCAGCAGCTGCTGCTGCAACGCGAACTGGACTCCCTGGAGTCCTTGGCGGAAGAGGAACCAGCAGCAGCAGCAGCAGCAACTGGGGCTATGGATCCGTGGCAGCTGCACGCAGCAGCAGCAGCAGCAGCAGCGGAAGCAGAAGAGGTTGCTGACAGCATCCGCTGTCTGTTGGGGGCCCTGCATTTGCGTTTGGGGGAGCAAGACTTGCTGCGCGCTTTTGCTGCTGCTGCTGCTGCTGCTGCCACGGATTTGCTGCCGGAGACAGAGCGGAGTGCATGCGCTGCACCTGGAGAGACGGCGGAGCTGCTGGCTGTTATATCTCTGCTGCTGCTGCGCCGAAGCACCCTCAGCAGCAACAGCAGCAGCAGCAGCATGCTGCAGCAGGCAGTGAGAGGCGGCAGCAGCAGCCTCATCGATAGGGAATCGCTGCAGCAGGCGCTGCAGCACATACAAACGGCCATGCAGCTCTTGGCGTCGACGGGCAAAAGCCAGCAGCAGCAGCAGCAACCGCAGCAACAGCAGCAACAGCAGCAGCAGCAGCGGCAGCAGCTGCGTGCTGCCCTCCACGGTTTGGCTGCTGCGGCGTTAGCGGCAGCTGTGGGTCTCCCCCTCTGTGAGGATCTGCCGCAGCAGCAGCAGCAGCAGCAGCAGCGTAAGCAGCAGCAGCAGCAACAACAACTGCTGTTGCAGCAGCAACGGCGCCAAGTAGGGCGGCTGCTGCAGGCAATGCAGCGACGCCTCGATGAGGCAGCGCAGCAGCTGCGCGAGTGGGTGCTGCTGTGGGGCCAGCCTATTTTGGCGCAGCAGCAACAGCAGCAGCTGCTGCAGCAACAGCAGCAGGTGCTGCTGCAGCAGCTGGTTAAGCGCGCATGCAGCACCTTCGCTGGCTGCTGCTATGCCCTGGGCACCGTAAGAGCAGCACAAGGCTGCAAATGGAAGGGGAAGCAGCAGCAGCAGCAGCAAGAAACACTCCTAGCTCTTCGTGCTGCAGCAGATGTGGGGCTGTTGGTTCCTCCGTTTCTGAGCAGCAGCAGCAGCAGCAACAGCAGCAAGATGCTTTTGCTGCTGCAGCAAGACCCCTGTGTGATTCGCGCTGCAGCGTCAAGATTTTCGGCGTATATGTCGCTACCAGCAGCAGTTGCTGCTGCGGGGAGCTCGTTGCTGCTGCTGCTGCATGCAGCAGCAGCAGCAGCTGACAGCAGCAACAAAGAAGCAACAGCAGCAACGAGCTGCTGCAGCAACATGAACCCGAGCAAGATCTGCTGCATCCTTTCTGACTTCGAGCAGCACCTGCTGCTGCTAAACCCACCCTCACAAACAGCAGCAGCAGCAGAAGCAGCAGCAGCAGCAGCAGCAGTGAACGCCGCTTCTCCAGCAGTCGGTTCTCTTGGAAATCTGCTGCTGCAGCGACAGCATCAACAACTGCAGCAGCGGCAGCAGCAGCAGCAGCGGCAAGCGTTGCTGCTGAGTGCCTGCTTTAGGCTGCTGTCTGCAGAGAGCAGCCAGGGGCAGCTCCTTACAGTGGATTAGTGTTGCTGCTGCTGCTAAAGTTGCTGCTGCTTCTGCTGCTGCTGCTGCGGTCGATGCTGCTGCTGCTTCTTCAGAAGAGGCACAGCCATCCCACTACTAGCAGCCAAGAGGCCCTGCAGCAGCAGCTTGGGCTGCAGCAGTTTTAGCAGCAGCAGCAGCAGTTTTAGCAGCAGCAGCAGCAGTTTTAGCAGCAGCAGCAGCTGCTGCTGCTGCAGAGGTTGTCGCATGGGGAGCAGCTAATTAGTTTCTTTGCAGCTGTTTGATATGCATGCATGCACCATTATGGCACAGTCCTTTTCAGCAGCAGCAGCAGCAGCT